TAGATAATTGCATTAATGAGAAATTGAACAGGTGTTCCTAATAATCCTTTAGGTGAGTGTATATTTGCTATATATACTCCATTCTAGTAACTTAACTTATGGCCAAAAGCTAGTAATGCAAACATTGTGGGTTCAAGTCCCAGAGAGTACACCCAAATTGTAACCTTTCTCTCTACTATAAGTGGCTCAAGATATATGAGCTAAAAAATATTATTTCATATTTTTCCCACATACTGTATAGTGTCACATAATTGAAATATTTTTTGTGAATCATAAATTTAATATTCGCACAATTTCTAGACATTGGTTAGCTTAATTTTGGTTAAGAGTGAAATTCATACTAACATACATTTGTAACAGTGTTCATAACATCTTCTTGTAGTGCATTTAGTTGGTGCTCTTCATGCAGGCTGCCTGCTTTAACATCTTTACTCCACTCGCTGTTTAACGTATGGAAACATAAACACTTTTCCCGACACATTGAGAGCGATATATCGTGTGCTTCATGAGGCTTCACCTGCCCCTCTTGAAATTGTGGCCTCACATCTCCACAGTTTTAGATTTATGCCAATTCACTTCCCCTGGATGTTGCTAATGCTTCCTGAAGGTGATGTCAGTCATGATGCAGTGGATACAGCTCCGAAATGCCGCCCTCTAAGTAAAGCACTATGGAGAGCCCAGACAGTGCTCAACTGAGCAGTGCAAAGATGGCATGTGACCAGATGAGTCATTCTTCTTCCTGTTCATATTATGTAGACCAGAGGTGCCCAACTCCAGTCCTGAAGGGCCGGAGCCCTGCACATTTTTGGGTTTCCCCTCATTTAAGACACCTGATTCAACTCATTGTGCTAATTACCACACAGCTCTTGAGCTGAATCATTTATGGTGGAACAGGGAAAGAACTAAGCTACACAGGGCTCCGGCCCTCCAGGACTGGAGTTGGGAACCCCTGATGTAGACAGACACATGTGCAGTACATACTGAAAACAACCCAGAGGCCAGAGGGCTTGTTTTCTTGTGTCGGTCATTTTGTACTGTTCATCCTCATAGGTTACATCCACTCTACACACCATAAGACGAGAGGTAAACAGCAATGGTACCAAGTCATGATGACATCATTTTTACCCATTAGCAAGCATTTCTGTACTGATGGGACGGCAATATTCCAGGATGGCTACACCGCCAAATCCACATCCAAGAGTGACTAAAGAGGATGTAATCGTCCTGTTATATCCGGGTGAGCTCAGCACTGTTCACCAGCAAACAAACCAGATTTGCAGAGCAGCATGTCAAGCAGTGTTTTCCACCACCCAAACACCATGGACCAAACACTTCTATCATCCATGCCTAGTGCATAGAAGCAATTCCATTTAATTTTCATTTCAGTATCAGGCACTTGTATCCAACCTAACATATAATAACTGAGAAAGCAGGGTCAGCCAGTCCCGTTAGCAATTGGGGTTAAGGGTCTTGCCCGCTCAGTCAGCCATGTGATTTGAACCTGGTGAACTTCCAATCACAAGCCTCAGAAGCCTGATCCACAGAGCCACACACCACCCTATCTGGGTACTTCATTATGGCCTCCTGCATTGACAGTTTCCTCTATGTCTTTAGAAATCTATGAGAATCAACCTTGTGGACTAATATGCAAACCATCGAGTCATTCAGACCTGATTTTATTCAGACCCTGTTTCACTGCAGTGAACATCAGCTTTTAGTGTTTATCAGAGTCCTGCAGAATATTCGCAGTCCTGGCTGTCATTGGTGACTCTTTGAAGAAGATGATGATGCCATACAGAAATTGATTCCCTTCCAGTTTTTTTTAAAAAGACGACACATCGTTTCTGATGTTTCGCCCACCTATGATTGTGCCTCAGTCATGTGCCTCTCATTTCAGGCTGACTGGTCTTTTCCATTTGCATTTCACTGCTTATCTAACATTCATCTACCAGAAACAGTCCTCAGTCATCTGAAATGTCTTTGTCATCCAAACCTTTACTCAAGTAGATTTATTATTATGAAGAAGTGAAAAGTCTACACTGAGTGACCAGTGCACAGTGTAAAGTGATTGTTATGTTTTTATTTTTGTTAGGAAGCTAAAACAGTGTAATGCACGGTGTCAAACTGCAGACCTGGAGGGCCGGAGCCCTGCACATTTTTGGGTTTCCCCTCATTTAACTCACCTGATTCAACTCCTTGTGATAATTACCACACAGCTCTTGAGCTGAATCATTTGTGGTGGAACAGGGGAAGAACTAAGCTACACAGGGCTCCGGCCCTCCAGGACTGCAGTTTGACACCCCTGGTGTAATGTATTTAAACAAATCCCATAAATAACCAAAAACAGGCTGTAGGTAACATATTACATTTTGTTATTTTATTCATTACTCAGAAATTTCCATACGAAATTAGACCCTTTCTTAGGAATCATACTGTGTCTGCTTTGAGTACTCTTCTTTGCTCTTCATCAACTCAATCATGATACACCATAACTGAACTGAGGAAACTTATCAGAGCAAACAGATCCTCATGTGTGCCACACTCCCTCATTAACCACGTGTGCTACCCCGATTGTGACCAGCTGTTTTCTGTCAGTTTGTTTTATCCTGTGTATTTAAGTCCACGTCTGAGTCTGTACCCCCAGATCCGTCATTAATGTTTATCTTGTGCTGCTCCCCGCTTTGTCAATAAACCCCGTTTTTTTGATCCTCGTCTCCTGAATCTGCTTCCCGACTCCCCGCTTGTGCAGCGGACGTGACAATAACCATATGAAAGAGGCTGAAATCTGTCTTTATTTCTGCCCATGCAACAAAAGAAAACTAAAGAGAAAGGAAACAGTGTCAACAATAAATATGACCAGCAAGCATTTCAATGACAGCTGTACACAGAGACAGCTTGATGAAGAATCATAAGCAGCAATACCAACAACAATAATATTAATAATAATAAACAGCATAAAGTTACCTGCCTGCATATACCCTTTTAATCCATAAATTTATCCATTTTGTATATCTGCTTATACAAGTTCTGGGTTGCAGCCAGTCAGAAATCTGCCCTCAGAAGCACAGGGAAGAAGGGGGCGGGGGGGGACACCCTGCATGGGATACAAGTCAGAGAGTCAGTGACATCATAGGGAAATTTAGAGACACCATCCTTCTGTGTACACTGGGGGTGTTTCTCAATATGCATACTGGACTGTAGTGGTGTTCTTGTTTACCCATTTGACATCATCTTCCATTGCTGCAGACCAGTTCCAATAGTCAAGAATAGAAGTCAGACCACAGTGCTCAGTGTTTGGCTGTTCATCTAAACAGGCTCTGAATGGTGCCGTCATTTAATCCTAAATTTGTCTTTGCAAATCTATGAAATGGATTTGTGTTATTGTGTCCAAGCCTTGAGAAAGACATATATGTGAATTTAACTTCAAATTGTTACTATTACATTTTTACATTTTCGTTCGACTTCCTGATCCAGGTCTGATGTGTTTGTGGGTGTTTTTGTAACTTACCATCTGAAGGGGCAAGATAGACCAATAAGATTTGGTTTTCATGTTGTAGAAAAAGCAGAAATCTATGAAAAAGAGCAGCTCAGCGCTTCAGCCACCCTGTAGTTACACCCCCTGAATCAGCTGTGTTTGCATGACCCTCTTCAGGAAAATGTCACTGTTCTGTCCTCATACACCCAGCTGACTGCTAAAGTAATTATATTGCTTATAAAATCCATAGATTCCCTCTCACGCCCATCACACTGTCCCTCTGTTTTGTGGGTATCTCTCATATTAATACTGAGATATACTGTGAGTAACATATTGGTTATAAAATCCATAGACTCCCTCTCACGCCCGTCACACTGTCCCTCTGTTCTGTGGGTATCTCTCATATTAATACTGAGATATACTGTGAGTGACATATTAGTTAAAAAATCCATAGACTCCCTCTCAAGCCCGTCACACTGTCCCTCTGTTCTGTAGGTGCAGCTCGTCCATGTGTGTCTGTGTTCTGGGTGGAGGGGCCCAGCGGGGACTCGGCGCTGCTCTGCTCCGTTCAGGACTTTTACCCAGAGAGCATAGAGCAGGGCTGGCTCCAGGACAGACTCCCACTGAACGTGACCCCTGACAGACGCAGCTCAGTCAACCCAGACGGCTCCTACACCCTCGACTCCTACTTGTCTCTGACAGCAGCGCATGCTGAGGATGTGCTCTGTTCCTCCAATGAATACCCAGGCACTCTGGTGCGA